GGGCATTTTTACCTGAGAAATGTCTTAATAGGGGTAGCTTTCAAAGTGGGGGAATCTCCGTAGAAAGAAAACAAAAACAGAAACAAACAAACGACACACTATAAGATTATCACGATCGAGGCATATCACAGGACTTTGATGTCTGGCGCTCTTGATAGTAGTACGATTTAATATATCAGATTTAGGACAACCCCGTTTTATGCACACAATATTATGTTGACGGATTGTGGAAAAAATAATATTTTTTAAAAAATAGGAGGGAGACAGCTGCAAATGCAATAATTACGCTCAAAAGACAGATCAGAGGGGATGTACCGACGCAAGTCCGCTCTTTATCAAACATTTAAAAAAGAGAAAAAATCTCTTTTTCCACAAACACATACACAAAGACACACACACACACACACACACACATGTACACACACACACACAAACACACACACACACACACATGCACACACACACACACACAAACACACACACACAAACACACACACACGCACGCACACACGCACAAACACACGTTTAGTTCATACAGTCCCTTATGTGACAACGTTTAAGTGGGCTGTCAAAAACTGTTCACAAACAAAGTGATACTTTATTGCACAGACAGACTACTTCAGATTTTCCCGCTTGCCCTTCCTTTATCTGGTTCCAGTATCTACTTCAGAAGTGACAATTCGTAGTTAAGCTGTAAGGACACGCACGTTTCACAGCGGCTTGTTTTTGTGTTTGACTTATCAAAATGCTGAAAATATGATCTCCTTGTGGTTTTTAGGATGCTTAAGTCTCACTAGCTACTCTTTCTTTTAGATCAGGGATGTCGTACCCATGTTCTAAATAAAAGAGCTTGATATCGTCTGGTTCCATCTATCAAAAGTTCTAGGATGAATAACGAATATACGCCAGGGGATTAAATATCCCATTGGGGAAACCAATATTATTAGCGACACGACATTAATGACAGTTGTCTTTCTTTCACATGCTTTATATGGTCGCTTCTAAGGACAAGCGGGCTAACCCAGATTTCGGGGGTTTCCAGAAATCTTGACCTACGCCAAAAGTAGGGGCCATTGCCCTACCTATAGAAGAAGTTTGGTTTCATTGGTGTGTATAATATTTGTTTTATTGTAGAAAAAAACAACCCTCCTTTACTTTCAAAGAAACTGAACACGAGGCAAAATCTTTACCTTCGATTTTCTCAAAACAGCATTTTTCGGGATACCCCCCGAAGTGCTTAAAAGCGACCATATGACCCTTGCATTTTCCATATAAGACAGCTGGGGATATGCCACTAGTTCATTGCTCCAATCGTTTATCATAAAGAAGTAAGATGATATTGCTGTACAAACTGGAAAAAGGTCAAACAACGGATCAAACCAGACAAAGGAAGATATCAAAATTTAGACTACTGTGATTTACCACTGTACTCTTGAATTGTATTTCGGGTTGAAACATACTTATTCCACTTCATCCATATCCGATGTAAAAATTGCCGATACAGGTTGATAGTCTAATATTAAAGAACCCCCCACTGTTATACATAGAGTACGTCGTATTAAGTTCCACTGAATGAAGTAAATAAATAACAAATCGAAAACAAACAAGATGGACAAAAAAGCAAAACAGTTCTCTCAGCTGCATAAATTATCATAATTATTCACCAATGCTAAATACAGGTTTGTAGTGTCGATACTCCAACAGATAAATAACCGACGCTGAAAGTAGAATTCCAGGACTGATTTTGCTCCCTTATATAAACAAACTGCAATTGAACTCACAAGCTGTCACGCTCAGAGCGGTCATGAATAAATAAATAACAATCAAATAATCAGAGCATGTTTGGAGAAAGCTCCTAAAAAGAGACGAGACTGTTTTGTCTTGTTTTTCGTTTTTGAGGATTAAATAATAATTTATTTTTT